GGTCAGCCTAATACCACAGAAGGAAGAGGGGACTGTTAAATGCCTCACCTTGCAATGTCCCGTAACATAGCCCTTCCCCAAATTCTGCCCCAGGTGAAGGGCTGGGTTCCCACTAGTGTAGCCCCCATGGGGCAGGAGCTCTATAGTCTCTCTAGACCTCACTGCAGTCTGTCCTGCCTCCCTCTCCCCACATACTGCTTGCTGTCCAACCCCCCATGGATTGCCCTTCTCTGCTCCTCAGTGATCTCAGTTCTTCATAGAATCACAGAACGGTTTGGGTTGGAAAGGACCTTACAGACCATCCAGTTCTAACCCCCCCTGCCATGGGCAGGGACACCCTCCACTAGGTCAGGTTGCCAGGGCCCTTCTGCAAGGAGAGGGCAAGGAGAGGCATGCCTGGGATGCCTGTGGTTTGTGTGTGTACCTGTGTCTGCGTAGATGTGCTTGGGTAGGTGTGACTACACGTGTGCAGGACACAGCACGCTCACGCACACACCTGTACCTGTGTTTGTACTTGCAGGCAGAGAGGGACATGTAACCCCACTTATTCAGCAAAGACATGCTGCGCTAGCAGGGCATATGGGCCTCTCTCTGCACATGCTGTGCCCCTGAGAGCCCAGATCTGATGGCCACCATGCGCCATCTCCACTCTCCCTGAAGTGCTGGGCTGACTCTAGTGACAGACACTGCTCTTCAACCCCCCCGGAAAGAGGATAGCTGTTGTGACAGGGAGTGCCCCGTGATGGTGTGACATGGTGGCTGCGGTAAAAGGTTGCTGGCTGCTCAAGGGATGTCATACCTTACTTGTTGCTGACATTCATGCCACCTGTGCTCTGGAGCTGACATGAAAGCCCTGGTCTTGTCACCCTTCATCAACTACCCACACAAGACCCAGCCTCCTCCACCCTCCCTGATGCTTTCCTTGCAGCCCCCTCTGTCCCACCGTACACAGCCTCTTTGTATTTAGCTCAATATCATCAGCCTTCAGGAGCACACCGATGTCTGTACAGGGTCACACACCCAGGAATGTGATAACCTGGGACAGGCCACATTCATCTTCATCACAGGGAGGCAGTAGGATTGGAAATGGCGTGGCGAGATGAGACAGCTGCACACCCCTGTCGCAGGCACTTAGGGCAGAGCCACTGCGGATGTGACAGCCGCGATACTCCAAGAATATCTGGTCAGGTCTCAACCCCAGTCTGCCTGGGTTTTCTCCAGCCCCCTAGACTGAGGGGCTGTCAGGCTGGAGACAGAAGTGAGCCTGAACAAGGTGCAGCAGAGAGGCCATGGTGCCTTTGGGAGCCACCCTGCCCTCTAGCTTTGTGCTCTGGACTTTCTGTGTTGAACACATACTCAAGGAAAGTTTTAAGAGGGAGGAGGTACCACAGCGGGTACCCCACCCTCAGGTAACAAGTTGCTACCCAGCTACCAAACATAAGGGATGGGAGACTGGAGGAACTGCTCCTGTTGGACCCACAAATCTGACTGTGCCACTGAAACCAGCTCCGATGCAGGAGGGCTGTGCTCCCTGCCATACAAGTGGCTGATCCCAGAAGGTATGAAGACAGGATCCCATCCCCCTGAGGCCCTTGTAATAGCCTCTGTTCCTTCATGTTTATGGAACAACCTGTTGACCCCTCTCGGTGGCAATCCTTGCAGTGCTGTGGAGGCGTGAGGTGTGGGGACTCACATGGCATGTCACAGGGGGAGCTGAAAGGCTGGCTGTCCCACTCCAGACAACCCTGTTTAGCCTTGGTTTTCCCTTTGTGCTGAAGGGTGTGTGACACACAGCTGAGGAGCTTCAGGCCTGCCAGGCACGGGCAGGATCTCAAACAGGTGCTCCCACCCCACCACTGAGCACCACTCCTGACCGACTTGCTCGCAGAGTCTTGCCTTCCCACAGGCCTCATGAGCTCCCACCACCAAGGGCATTCACTCTCTGGAAAAAGACAGATTCAATTCATGCCCATTGATCGGATCTGAATCCATAATTCAGTCCAGTCTGTCTCCATTCTCTCTGTCACTGCCATTCCCCTCCACCTCCCAGAGTTTTTCTCTACCCTTTGCTAGATACCTAAGCTGTGCTGAATGAGACTGCTGGCTCTCCTCACAGCTGCTCCATCTCTGTCGCTGCAGTTTCTAGTAAACCTCTTTAAAATGTATTAGCCTTCCAAAAAGGAGCTGATAAACAGGGGACAGGAGGAAGGCAAAAAGGGGGGAGGAGGCAGGTTGCAGTGATGCAGATTATTCTGCACATCTGCAGCGTTCTCCTCCCAGCCCTTTTATTAAAATAGATGGACATTTATTATGAAAATGAATTACTGAGTGTGCGCAGGAGTCCTTTGGCAGGCAGGGAATACGTGTCAGTCTTCTGCACGTATGTCTGTGTGAGCCACATAACGCTGCTGCTGATGAGAAAGAGGAACATATCCACCAATAGCAATCTGTCAGCTTTAGTACCTGCAGGGCTATGTGTGTGTCTGTGTGTCAGTCTGTGTGTACTCATTCATGTGTGTGGTGCTGCAGTTGCCCTCAGCAAAGGGAATGATGATGGTGACCATCAGCACATTCCCTGCTGGTGCCATTCCAGTTGAACAAGTCATTCCCATCATAAATTTGCAAGGGCTCCAAGCGTGAGTGTCAAAGCACACAGATGTGAGTGGACGGTCAAGTTTTATAGACCCATTCTGAGACACCCTGGCCAATACCAAACGCATTGGTATTCAGCAGGCATGAGGTGAGGGATATCACGCGGAGGGTGCACATGTTGCATTGCTGGTGGGCAACATCGGGTACCATTGTGTTCACCGCACTGAGGAAACTGAGTAGCAAAGAGTTTGGAAATGAATTTTCTGTGCTGGGGCCAAGGAAAGAAAGAGAAACTCAAACTTACTGTGCCTCTCCCTACCTCAGTCTCTAAGAGAGAAGAAACCTGGCCCATCTCCTCCTGACTCTTGTGGTTAGTTTGATGGATGGAAATTACACAATTGGCCTGTCTCTGTGCATTGTTTTGCCTCTCACAAGTTGTCCTTCCCACCCTGTCCCCGCAGGAATGATTCTGCTCTGCAATGTCTGGGTATCTGGGGGAAGAAGGGAGGGGAAAGGACATAGGCAGCCTGAAGAGAATTGCAAAGATTTGGGATGAGGAGGGACTGGGAAGAGCTTGGATAGATCCTGCTGTCATAGGAATGATCCAGGTAAAGGGAAGGCTTAGCCTGGACTCCCTCACCCAGGAGCAGATTGTGGGTAGAAGAGCGACTCCAGGCTACATTTTGATGGTTTTTATCACACAGAGCATGAGCCTGAGAGTCACCAGATCAGACAGTTCTCACCCAAATCCTAAGCTCTGGGGCATCTTTCACCAACCAAGTGTATATTTATTTTTCTCTTACATATAGTGGAGATGTCACCAAGACAAGGGGCCACATTCTGCCTTCTCCCAGCTCTGGACCTGACCCTGCCTCCCCACACTGAACCCAAAGCAAGAGTGGATGTGTGTGTGAGCACATGTGCTCTAGAGCAGTGGGCAGCAAACTCAGCCCGTGTCACATCAGCGACAAAGAGATTCAGTGCAGGAGACATTGGCAGGCGCGAGCAGAAGAAAACCTTCACGTTCCTTCTCCAGGGTGAGCGCGTGCTTCAACTCCGAGATACACTTCCCTGCCTCTTGAAATTAATTCAACATTCCTGTGGCTTGGGCAAAAATAACTAGGATGAATAATCAGGCTGTGCTGAGCCTGCTGCAGATTGCCTGGTAGATAGGGCCCTCTGCAGGAAGAAATAAAGGCAAAGAGACTGACAGCACCAGTGTTTACTAGAAGAGACCTGAAAGGTAACAGATAAAACAGCAATAGCTTACCTCATCCTTTAACCCTGCAGGTGTAGTTGCCTCTAGCCAGTGTCTGGTATTTGCCCCCGTGTTGTTCCCAGCTCCCTGCACATTTCGTTTGTCCCATCCACCACTCCTCCTCCCTCCCCAGCTGCTGGACGGCTGCCTGCCTGCATTTTGGGTGCAGTGCAGAGCTGCGGTGGTGCTCAGGCTGCTTTGCCAGGCACGGGAGCGTGACACTCTTAACTCACATCCTCTGCCATTATCACTAGAACGAGCACATTACCCTGAGTTTTGGGCTGGTTTAAAGAACTTTTATTTCTTTGGTTTTTTTACACAAGAGACAAAAAAAACCCAGGCTCAAGATGAAACCGATGCATGAAGATGGGAATGTCTCTGTGTGTGTACGTCCTTGTGCACGCGGTGCGTATACACCTCCAATTTTTCATGCCTTCTGGCTGCTGGCCTTTCAGATACAATGCCCAGGCCTCTGGAGTGGTACAAGGAAGCAACTTCTGTTGGGGAAGCCATCAGCCAGGAGGAGAGCTAGTGTTCAGGTTTCTTCCCTAGGGAGACCTGTGATGGTCCCTGAGTTTCAAAACAGAGAGACAGAAGACCCAGAGCCACTGCCCTGGTCCCACAGATCCTCTACACTCAGTTACTCCTTATCTCCCTATCCAACATCTTCAGCTTTATAAAACCTATGACTCAGTTACAGAGCAGGGACTTCCCAGGATTACAGCCCTCATGGCTATGGGAGGTAGAAAGGGGAGGGGGCTGTCTTCTGAACTGGGCTTCTTATCTTCTCTTGGCCTCTGGTTTCACAGTGGTCCCTTCTCCACAGCCACTACACATCATGGAAGAAAAGCCACTGGGACTTTTCTACTCTGCAACTGACTGTACCATTCTTGGCTGCTCCAAGAGCATCTACATGGTTCTTCACTTAATAATACCCAGGCCTGGTTTGGTGGTGGAAGGCGCTGGAGGCATGCTGGAGACATCCTTGTCTCCTCTCAAATCCTGCCCTACATGCCTCAGTCTGTATGGGAGAATCCAAAGGTGAAGTCAATATTGAGCCTTCAAGTTCGGACATGGGAAACGCCATGCCCACGGTTCTGACAGTCCTCAGCGGATTGCACCCTGCGCCTCTGCCTTCAGTTTGGAAAAGGAAGAAGCAAACCTGACAAGGTGTCCTGCCAGTCATCTTCCTGCCAAGTGGGAGGCAGAGGGAACCAATGCTCCCAAATTTCTTCGCTGGAAGAGCCTAGCATTAGAGGGAAGCTGTCCCACAACTACATCTTACTGATGCCAGTGACAAGGTCAGGGCTCAGTTTTTGCTGGCAATCTTTTTCTTACGGGCAGACACCAGATCATAGAAAGGATCCTGTGTGATGCTGGTCCTGGAATTGAGAGGAAATGGGAGCAAATGTTAGAGATTTAATGCTGGAGAGCAGCACAGGCACCCTAACTGAACTTGCACAGAGACACCACTCACCCAAATGTAGGACTGCAGATCTGCAGACCCACAGCAGAGAATTTAGCTGTGACTCTCCAGAAAGTCACTGAAGTCAACCTTGAAACTCATTGATGTCAAGAGTTAGACTGCAAACATATCTTTCCACCCCCTTTTTCAAGCCCTGGTAGCCAAATAAACTCTGTGGCCACTTGTCCCTGGGGATGAACAGAGGCAAGCACAGGCCTCCAGTTCTGGTCTCCTCACCGGATTGCCTCAATCCACTCATCACGTTCTGTTGGTGTGGCTGCTGAGATCTTGTAGGACTGATGCTTGCCTTCCACCACCTTCCCATCCCCATCTGTTTTGCAAGCTTTGATCTTCTGCCCTTTGCAGTTAGGAATGAAGAGCTCAAAGCAGTTCTGTCAGAAAGGGAATAAAATGGAGCAGTAAGGGAGGACAGGGTGGACCAAGGAGTCTATGCTGCCTTCAGCCATGGGCGACAGGCTCAGAGAGCTTTCAAAGGGGAGGAGAGCATTCTACCTCTGAAATGCAACATAGCCTTTCCTTCCCCACCCAAAGCACCCCACTGTGAGTTAGATCTCGAGGCCATCCCTCTTAGGTAAATACACCCCTTCTGTGCACTCACCTCTCTCCCCCTGCACACAGACACACACACACACGAAAACATACAATACAGCCAGCCAAAGGGCAGTTCTCCATTCACATCAGATCTTCCCTAGTAAACTACAATCATGTTTAGATGCTGTCATGAGACGGGGGAGACAAGGCAGGTTGGAATGGCACCTTCGCTCTGAGAAGCACGGTAAGAGTAGGGTGTGTGCACCCTCTCTTCCCCCTGACCTCCCGAGAGCCTGCCTTGGCGGAGTACCAAGCAATGGAGACTTACTGGCTTTTTGGGATCATCCACCTTCCGGACTGAGAGATTCTCCAGAGGGATAATGCCCAGAGGCTCTTTGTCCTGATGGGAAATAAAAATGAATTAGCACCCACATCTATGCCACTATTTAGAGCCTCCCTGATTTCCCAGACGTGTGCCTTTGGGGGGGTGACAAGGACAGTGTCGTCTCCGTTTACACAACCGGGAGCTTGGTTAACAGGAGATCACAGCAATAGCTGCAGTGTCCAGCCTCTCTCCTCCTCAAGACCAGAGGCGAGGAAACTGCATAGAGGGAAGGGAGGTCTGAGTTCAGTCTGGGAGCATGCGGTAGAAAGGAAGAGTTGCCCCCAGCCCTCTGCTCCTCCCTGGCCCCTCAGAGGCTCATACCCACCCAGGACACAGTTCCCAGCTGGGGGTTAAGCCTTTATTACCGTGGTATATTCAAAGTAGTACAGGCAGTTATCGGTCAGAATGAACCAACGTCGTTTCCATGTTTTCACACGCCCTCCTAAAGGCAGTGAGGTTCAAAAAGCCATTAGTGACCCATTTTGCTGTCCTTCCCGCCACCTTCCCCAGCTCCAGCCATGCACGCACAAGCACACCCTCCCAGCCCCAAGCAGGCAACCGCGGTGCTCTCCGCTGGTAGGATGCCGGACATGCACACCAGGGAGCCAGTTTCTGCTCTGCTGGGGCTGGGAACGGGGAGGGGTGAAGGGTATCTTTTTGAGTGCCTTTTTGAGCAGGCAGAGCCTGCCGGAGCTGGGAGGAGAGAGCAGGCGGCTGGCTCCAACAGCAGGTGTCAGCCTCATCCCACCGCAGCAGCCAGAGGGACGGATGCGGAGATGCTGGTGGGTTCCTGGGGGAGATTTGCGGTGGGAAGCAGGCAGGCGGGGAATTCAGAGGAATTAGGGGAATCCTTGCCTTTACCTAGTTTCAGGAGCCAGCCCTCTCGGTTAGGATTGAAGAAGGTATGTGTGAGGTCATTCCCATCGTCCTCTGGTATGGAGAATGGCTCGTTCTTTATGCTCTCAAACAGATTCTGCCCCAGAGCATTGGCGAGGGAAAGAAAAAGAAAGAAAGACAGATTTCTGATAAAGCTTGTACACAACTCTCCTAGGTTAATCTGGTCCGTTGCTCTGTTTCCACAAGGGCAGGAGGGTGAACGAGGAGGGCAGTGGGCAGCGAGCACTGAGGGTACAACAGCCCCCAGTCTACAACTCACAGGGTCTCAAAGGGGATCACCAGCCCTTTTTTTCACCCTATTTGGAAAGTCACGGACACAAAAGTGTGCAGCCATATCAAGAGAGGCTGCAGTGACCAAACCCAGCATGCCACACCAGTGCCGCTGTGGGTAGTACTATGGCACTGTTGGGTGGGATACATGACACGGTAGAGGCTGCAGCCCCACTTAGCGTCGAGGTTGGTGGTTGCAAACACTGCTGAGAGCTGGTATGCAGAGACCAACACACCCATCTACTTGAACACAAGGAGGCACAGAACCAAGGTATTTGCACTGACGGACACAAAGGGTGACATTCACAATAGCAAAGTGACAGGGAGGCAGGTTACTAGCTTTCAAAGGATACAAAAATGTTGGTCAAGTCATTGGATTTGCCATCATTTATTACACAAATCCCAAGCCAAGAAAAAGAAAAGAAACTACAGGCTCCTGCAATTTCCCCTAAATTGCCTGAAAGAAATGAGACTCTGGAGAATAATCTAAAACCTTTACCCTGAGGGGATGCTGCTCAGCAAACCCAAGTGTGGGCTGCAAGCAGTCTCTTCGGCACAAGAGACAAGTTTTTCTCCCCAGGTTGGTTGGGTGAAGCTGGACACATAGGCAGGCTGCCCACCTTTACCTTGCCTTACAAGGCAGGTAGGTCCCATGCCTGCTGAGCCTTTGGGAAAACAGCACCTCCAGCTTTGCTAATGGATGCATCCCCTGCCTCTGTCTCCCCAGTTCTGCATCTCATCTTCCAGGATCAGACACACCATGGAACCTCTGAGACCTTTAAAGATGCTGGAAGAGATGCTGATGCTGGAAGAGATCCTGACACTCATCTGAGGCTTGTTGGTTCTACTCTCTCAAAGATATATCCTGGTGTAAGAGGTCAGGCACTGGCGTCCTGACTGATGTGAGCAGTGTAGGTCAGTAAGCCTGTATTACACTGAGACCTGTGGACCTTTGTTTCCTAGTGGACACCAAGACAAAGAGAAAAGAGGGACTGATGAGAAAATTGGAGGTCTTCTTACCTTTAAGAGCTCCTCCGGCAGGTCTCCTCCATTGTCAATGCCCCTGTTGATGGACACAAACCTTTCAAAAGGGGGTTTGTCCTTCACATTGGGATTGTGCAGGCTGGTGTTAAGCATGATGATAGAGAAGGAGAGTATATAACAGGTGTCTGTCAACAAGAAATAAAACCAGGATGGGTGGCACTTGTCTTAGAGAACAGATCAATGCACACTCTAAGAGGTGGCTTGGTTTCCAGTCACTGGAGAACAGCATTATGGCCTCAGCTGTAGGAAGAGGGAAATGTCACCTCTGCTAGGAGTAAGAGTGACAGAGCTGATATGCTATGATGGACATGATTCCATCCCCTCAGTGTGATGGGGCAAGTTGGGTATATCTGGTCTGATAACGGCTCTGCCAGCAGGAAAGTTCCTAGAGACCCATGTCTGTCAGTGCTATTCTTGCTGCGATGAGGTACACCTCATGTGGGGCTGGGAGCACTTCTCAAGTCTATTCCCCGTGGGGATGGATTGGAGCACAGTAACACAAGGAGGGCTGAAGACCCCCAACCTATTGGAAAGCTTCACAGAAACTGGGCTGCCTCCTTCAGCTTAAAGGAAAACATCCCCAGTTCCAAGTGATGCCCTCCGTGCTTTGTGAATGGAAAAGGAAGGCTCCTCTCTCTCGTAAAGAGTGGAGCTCAGCTTTACAGTCCTTCTTTCCCCCATAACTACCTGTGGACTGGAATACTCCTGGGTTACACTTGCAGTACCAGTTGGCAAAGGCCTCCATCATCCGGTCAATCTTCTGCGCCTCCCCCGGCAGCCGGAAGCTCCATAAGAACTGTCTATCAGGAACAGTATGCCAGAGAGTTAGTCAGATTGGGTGCAAGGGACATTTAGCCCTTCCCTCAACACATGGAACACCATGAAAATAAAAGAAGTCATCCCATCACAGTGGGGAGATAACACAGGGCATGAAGCAGGAGCTCCGCTCCTCTCTCTGGAAACCGCCCGACCTCATCAGCCTCAAACACCGTAAAAGCAGGAAGCAGAACAAAGCATCCTGGAAATCATGGCTCCTCTTCCCTAAGGAGTGCCCTGCAAGGCAGCAGAGACCTCAAGAGAAAGGGTCCTGCCGGGAGGCTGGCCTATAACACAACAAGATGCCCTAAGGCAGAGTCACTTTGCCACTGACAAAACAGGCACTGGGGACAGACATGTTTCCTGGTGCAAATACCTGCCCCACACCCCCAGCCACTGAAGCCACAGTGACCAGCTTTGCTTTTCCCATCTTCTCTGCACATGGCCAGTCCAGTCAAGGGGCATGAAAGAATTCCTCCAGGAAAAGGTGTTAACTCCTCACAGAGCCAACACACGCAGCAGGGCCTTGGGCAGCCCCGTTTCAGCCCCGAAGCGCTTCACAGTCTCCCTGGGTGGTAAGACTCAGTGGCTGAGCCGGCTCCTGCTCATCCCCTGTGTCCTGCCCGCTCGCTCACCTCAGTGCCTGCACCAGGTTGAGGTTGGCAAACTGGTGACATGCCACAAAAGCCTGGAGGATCTGAATGTTTGTGGGGTCCCTGGGAGAGGACAGAGGGAAAAGGTCAGAAGAGAGCTTCCACCCTGCTCAGTTTGGATGCCCCTTTGTGTGACAACATGCACCTGGCTCCATCCCAACCTCAACTTCCCCCCTGCCCAATGAGAAGCCAAAATGCACACTCTTGTCTGGGAAGGCTGGCCCTATCTCAGGCAGAGGAAAGGTGACCCATACAGCCAGCCTTAGCTACAACCCAAAGGTGTGCTGCCCACCCAGCCCACTGTAGGCTGAGGTATGTTCAGTCCTGGCACCTGACCGAGGTCTGCCTGGGATCATCCAAAATGACAGTTGAGACGGGCCAGGCAGGACAGGGCTTCCAAAGAGCCTCCTCATCCTGGATGGGTTGCTCACCTCCCACCCAGGTAATCCCCAATGGCTGTCTTGTTCAGGCCTTCACCCTTATGGAGGAATTTGGCGATCTCCTGCAGGTCTGAGGACAATACCTGGTGCTCAATCAGGTACTGGATCCCCTGAGGGAGGAGAAGTAAGACAGTGAAGTGAGACAGATCTGTGGGCTGAGGAGAATATAGAACCCCAACACCCTGATATCAGCCTTCCTTGGCTTTGATGATGTTGCCTCCTTCATTAACCCACAGCCTCATTATTGGAGAACGCAGATACGTTCCCACCCGTAATCCATTCCTGTTCATAAGCCGTGGTGGGACAGTCCCACGTCCCTCGATTTGGACAAATGTTTCTCTGGGGTGAAAACTCAAGCAAACAAAAGAGGGCAATGTAGGTTGAAAGTCCAAAAAGGCAAAGTCAGAATAGTTCATTTAAACATTTTCAATCAAAATATCTTAGTGCTCTGTTTCTAAATAGAATTTTCTTCTGAATTAACTTAAAGGGAAAACAAAAAATGTTTGTTTAAAAGAAAGACATAGTAAAAAATATACTCCGACAAAAGACAATTTAAAATTATTTTTTCCTACATTTTCTTCTATGTCACAGAACAGAGAAGTCTGCAATCTTTTCAGCTCCATCCTCCCCTGCCAGTAAGGATGGAATGTGATTTTTAAGGAATACAGAGAGTCTGAGATGGGCTGTGCAAAGAGTTAACATCCTATTTTAGAGGGAATTCCATGATTTTCAAAGTCACAAGAAGTGGAGGTTTTGTTCAGATTCTTAACAATATCTAAACCCACTGCAACTCTCCAGATCGCATTGCAATTCTCCTCACAAAATACAATAAAGGAATGAAAATTGTTTTAGATCCATCAAAATGTTCTGCTTCAACAGAATCAATTCACTTTGCCTTGTAATATATAAGAAACTATTTCTAAAATGCCCCAAAGAAAAAGCAGTTTCAAAAGAAGAAATTGAAATGTTTGTGAGATTTTTCCACACTATTTTCCTTTCTTTTTCCCCAGACAGAATTTTGCTAAGATCAATTTAATTTTGCAAAGCCATAGCGGTGATGATGTGGCTCCATTTTCCAGAAGAAAACGTTTCACCCAAAAGGTTTCCTTCAGTCAGATGACTAACGCTTACCTCCTCCAGCCTCAGGAGCGTGCCCTGAGATCTTGGAGATAGGAACTCATTTAAAAGCATCAGTGTTTCATGGATGAAGTGTAACCTTAGCAAAGGGGGGCAGAGAGAGTTCATTGCATTGCAGCACCTCTCAGCCTGTGGTGTGTAGCAAAAGGGAAGCAATAAACAGCGATCTACATAATATGAGCCCATACTGTAACATTTCGACCAGGCTGATTGGCACTGAACTAAAAAAAGCTAAACTGGCTTGGGGTAAGAACCAGTTCAGGTATTTCTGCACAGCATGGCACAGTGCCACGGAAAGAGTTGCCCCTGGCGACTCAAACCAAGGTCAGACAGAAAGACAAAACAAAACCTGCTCTCACGCAGGTTGCAAGTACTGAGACAGCTCCTGTTGGCAGAGGGATGTCCAGGGGGCTGGCAAGCACTCCAGCTGGGGTGTGGACACTGGGGAAGGCATCTTGAGGGTCTCAGCATGGCAGGGGGGAGGCATGAAACGTTGTCACTCAGACCAACAGGTCACCCAAGATGCTAGCTGTGGTGGTTAGCTGACAATGAGCAATCGTTCAATCGCAGCTTGTGGTTTTCCTTACAGAGCTCAAAAAAGGGTCCAGCAGTGAGGAGGAAGGAAGAGGAGACTGTCTTTCTCACATCTTCTCTATTTAATCATGACTATTTCAGAGATTTCTGCAGAGGGCTGAAGGCTATGGAGCCTGGACCCTGCTGGTCAGAGTCCCAGAAAATGGAAAACCTGGGTTCACTCCACAGGCCACAAATTTGGCTCTCTTGACACACTGGCAGTGTTAAACCATCCTCGCTTTATTTCTCTTAGCTTTGGGTTACATCTGATGGGATGGCCTATGGGCACATGATGGGGCGAGCTTGATCAGGGAGAGGTTGGAGGTGCTACTAACTGGAGCCTCAATGAGGTAGCAAACCAGCCCCACAGTCCCATGTCATAGTTCTTTTGACATAGGTGGCTGCAAGTGGACCAGTAGCCCACAGAAGCGCTTCCTTAGAGATTTCTCCTCATCAGTGGAATGAGCAGATCTTACCTTTGGAGGGTCCATGTTGAATTTCTTCCGGCCCAGGGACAGAAGTTTATCCCTCTGTGACAGTTTGCTGCAAACACAAAGAAGAAAGAAAGTCAAACTTAGAATAAAGGGCTGTGTTTCAATTCACTTACAAGGTAACTCAGAAATCTCAAGGAGAGGTGTCTGACTATCCAGGAATGAAGAGAAAACTCAGAATAGAGAAGGGGATTCCTGGCCTCATTTCCCAGTCCTTGTTGTGATCCAGATCCCATCCGTGTTTTTGTTTTCTCAGCACTGAGAGAGGCTTTGTAAACAAAGGAATACCCATCTTGTACCACTTGCCTGGTCTGCCCCCCAGGTTTATTGTCTGCCTCTTGCCTCTCCTCTGCATTTTGGAAGCACTCAATCTCTGCGAACACTGCAGCAATCTCTTCCTTCAGCTTCTGTAATAGAAATATCAGGATGGATAAAGACGGTGGAGGGGAAAACAGCAGATGCATACAGAGGATGTCTTATTTCTTCCCTCAGTGGTAGGAAGAGGACAGGTCAGATGGTCCCGACCAGCCAAGGATGTCTATGAAATGGGCACTGCTCTGGGGTGACCCTGCCGGATTCCAGATGAAAACAATGGGAGAGAGGGGCAGAAAGATGTTCTCACATCTGTTGTCAGTCAAAGTTGGAAAATCAAGCTTAGCCAGTGTGGAGAGTGTCAGAGAACTCACCCCAGTGCTGATTTCAGTTCCTCAAACAAGTGTCAGATGTAAAAGCCCTTCCATCATGCCCATTTCCTTGTAGCTTTTACTTTGCATAGCCCTGCTACACATCCAGGAAAGGGGAAGTGGAACCAGTAACTGTGAGGTCAATATGAACCTGAAGCGGCCACATTGTGCAGCACAGAGTTTTTAACGTACCTATCATTCAAATGCTATCGGGCAGCTAACTGTCTTTAGGTGAAGAACGAAGAGAGGAATAAAAGAAGAGTAATCACTGCCAAATTTTTTAAAAAATCAACTGTAGAATTCAGTTTCCTTTAGTCCCATGACAGACCATGGCCGCCTTGGCTGGGTATTCTGCGTTACCAAGGAAATGAAGATGCCTGTATCTCCTTGCTTCTATCCTGTAGTTATGGTCCTCCTCAGAGCCAGAGCACATCACGGCTCTCTTCCAGGAATCACACACATTCTTCCCCATGCAAACCAGAATAGGTGGGAGAAGAAAGCTTGTTTTATGACAGATCTTGCCTCAACATAGAGTGAGGATGTGACCACAGTATGCACCCAGATAGAGAAACGCAAGTTCTCCAATATCCCATAATTTAAAAGAGCTTCTGGATTTCAGTTTTGCTCTGACCTTCACTCTGTCATGCTTCATCCATCTCCAGAGCTGGGAGTGTTGCTTACTAAGCTTTAGGTATTGCAACGATGTACCAAAGCTGTGATCTTAGCTCCTGAATTTCAAATGATTCAACCATGGAAACTTGTGTGGAAGGACCTGCCATCACACCTCTCTAAAGAGACAATCCTGAGGACTTGTTAGAGGTCCAAAAACAAACAAACAAATGGTTTGATAAACGCAGGGGGATGCAGCAGGTCACTAGGACTGATATGTCATTAACAGGTAATCAGTAATTAAAACTAATCATAAATACTGAGCCAGATCCCTGTCAGTATGACTTAGTAAAGTAATGTTCATTTCCTTAATCCTAAATACGCAATCCCAGCCCATCCTCGCTATTGAGTTGACCAGTCTTAAATATCCCATTAGAGTCGTTTATGACTCCTGCAGCAGAGAGTACCACAGGTTGTATGCACACTGGTGGCAAGTTCAGAATTCAAGTTGAATCATGCCAGAGGACATGCCTCCTGTGCAGGAGCCCTTCTGCATGGCCTGCACTGTTATGTGAAGACACTCCTTGGTGAAGACTGTTTTGAGAAAGTTAGGAAGACAGCAGGAACAGGATGGGTCTTACCTTAATGTCCTCCAAAAGCTCCTGTCTGTGCTGCCTGATTGTCTCTATTTCAGCCTCTTCAGCCTTACTCAAGTCAGCTGACCCTGGGAAATAAAAAAAAAAAAGGAGATGCCTGTGAGGATAGTACTGGGGTCAATATAGGAAACAGGAAAACACAGCTGACAGAGGAAAAGCTGCCTCAACCTCTCAGTGCCTATCGTCTCCTAGGGCTGTGTCACTGCAACGCTGATTTCTGTGTTTCAGCATCTACATTCCCTGCTGTTGCAGCCACGGCACACTTTGCCCTGCAAATGTTTCTCAGCCCAGGGTGACCAGCACAGACCCATATACCCCTCCTTGCAGCCCACTGCTGTGCTGGTAGCCCTATGAGCTAACCCTGCAGCAACCCATCCTGCCTACTCAACCCGTTTCGCTCACTGTGAGCACAATGAGGAGGTCTTACCAAATGCTCTTCGGTGGTTTTTATCTCAGTCATCTTTATGCACTGAAGAGCTGTGACCTAAATACTTCATCTACATCCGAACCTCCCATGAAGAGCCACTGGCTTCGTGGATTGATCCACCACAGCTAGAGTCAGAAATGGCTTAAGAGAAAGAAGCGAGGTTCTTCAAGTCTGAGGGCAGGATCTGGCGGGATGAAAGCCTTGCTGAAGAAGAGGTGTCTGTGGGAGGCTGCTGTTCTGTAGACTACAGACAATGCAGAAATACAAGCAGGCTTCATTGTAAAGTACAGGAAGTTAAACAGATACCAGCAGAGCCAAAGCGACCACAAAATGATTTATAAAAGACCTAGAAGAATTGGGGTGACAGCACTGCTGCTAAATATAATCCAGGTGAAGCACAGCCTCTTCAGCAAGGAGAAAGAGGAGGCTGCAGCCCTAGAGAGGTAAAGCAGGAGCCCCAGGAAAAAAAACCAGAGGGCTCATAGAAATCTGAGAGCACTGGAGCTCCTGGGAGATCACTGCAGACAGGGTCCTTGCCGCACCTAAACACTGTGAGACAAAGCTTCCCAGGAAGCCAGGTCATGTCACAGGATGCCCTGCTCCACTGTTTCATAAGGCAAAATCCCCTGGGCCTCCCATTTTCCTGAAAAAAGGGGAAGTGATGCCAGCTGCCTTGGAAATTCTCTTAGTGTGGATCTCACATGCAAAGTAACTGCTATAAATATGAGTGGGGGAAAAAGGGGAAGGAACCAGCCAAGACAAGCAGAAGGAAAAGGGGACAAGGGCAGTCATCTCAGAGCCCATAAGCTTCTTTCCTCTCATGACCACAACAGCTCAGAGAGACCTGCCTTCCCACATCCTAATCTTTCCCCCATCCTCCTAGCTGTTTGAGTTTCCATGGGCTAAGTCTGTCCTATTACTTTTCTCAGGCTGTGATTTCTATCCCATCACTCCTCCTGCTGTTTTCAAGCCCTGCATTCCCTGGGGAGAGGCTGCTGAGTCTCTGGGAGGAGAGCACCGGGCAAGGAGCCAGCATGAAGCCAGGGCTGGGAAGAACCCATATCCCCTCTCAGCTCTGCAAACAGCCCTCATGATGACCTGCAAGAAGCTGATGGGTTGCTGAAGCCGGTCAAGAAGGGAGGAAAACCTGTGGCATCCAGCAGCTCACAAGAGCCAAACCTATATGTGAGGGGGAAAAAAAAAAAAAACAAACAAGCAACCAAGCAAACAAACAAAAAACAAACAAACAAAAAGAAACCACAATAAAAAAAAACAACATACAGTGGCTTTGCTGCTTGTCAGGCAGGTTGCTGACTTCCCCTTGAATGTCATTGGTGCCTGGGTGTTTCAGCTTACTTTGTCTCCCACCGCTGGCATCTGCAGGAGATGAGGCCAGCCTCTTGGTCTCCCCAGCTCTATCTCTCTCATCCCTACAGGGACTGGTAATTGTGGAATCACTGGGGCGATTCCTTGACAAATTACTCCTAATACCCTTTGTCCTGCATTTCTTTCCACAAAAGCACCATAGCAGGATGCACCTGAAGAACATCCCCTTACACACACACACACACCATCAGCAGAGTCTGTGGTGTGGCTGGTTGCTTTGCTTCAGTTGTTCTGTGTCTACTGAAGCAGCTTAAAGCATCTCAGAGAGATGTGAGGCTCCCAGAGGACACCATCTCACCCACATGACCCCCACTGAAACTCTAAATAATTCAGTCCTCCTTCCTCCTGAACATCTGGCAACCCCAGCTCCCAGGTGATTTACCTGACCAGTTTGTCAGAATGAGAAAAATGTGGGAAGGACTGCTTGTAAGGGGAGGATGGAGGGAACAAAGCATAGAATCATGAGGAAGGAATCAAGGGACAAAAAACCTGGAAAGGGTGACATAGTAAGGAAAATTGGATGGATAGAACATTCAAAGCCATTTAGATTGAGCTGCAGAGAGGGTCCTTGAAAGGTTTTCTAAGTTTCCTCAACTTAAGTCCCGTATTGCCTTGGAAAATAATTGTGAGGTCAGTGCCTACATGTTACTCTGCTTCTCTGACAGAAGGCCTAATGCTCTGCACAAGGCTATTTTGAGGCCGTGTATCGATGCTACTGCACACAGTGGGGTCTACAGTTAGGGGAAATGAACACAAAAGTCCTATTTGGGGAACTGTCCACAGAAGGGCAGCAGAGGAAGCGGCAGACGAGAGAATGAGAGCAGGCTGCTTTGCCTTTCCTTCCCTCTCCATGTTGAGAGCAAGTCGAGCAGGCAGGAGAGGGACACTCAGAGTGAAGCACAGCCTGGCTTGCTCCCAATGCTCGTAATGGCAGAGGGAATTCATCCCTGCACTGGGGAACTGAGGAACAGCTTTGGTCTCATCAAAGTCCTCAGTACCACCAAGTTCCACTTCCCTCTCAGGCTAGGTCAGGACACAGATGAAGCATAGCACTGGTCAGGGTTCTCTGCACAGGGGGAAATTTCACCTCGTTGAAGAACACCCCATGAAAATACCCACAGGTTTCAGGGGGATGCTGTCAGCCAAGCCAACGTGGAAGCCTTCCAGTTCAGACACAAGGCATAAGAAACTGTCTCGCATCCTCTCCAGAGAGGACATGAGGTTGCTGCTTGGAATTTATTTGCAGAGAGCAAATATTGAAAGGAAAGCACATCAGCATCACATCTGTGGGGCTTACACCTGCTCTTGAGGTTGTTTCCCACTCTTGAGGCAGACCCAGATAGAAAGACCTGCCAGTTCTTCATGAATTGCCCAGGCTTGTATTCTTAGTGCTGTCACTCAAAACAGAAGACAGACTTCGATTCCAGTTGTGGTGACTTACGCCCCCAGCCTCCCCATCTGGAGGACAGGTCAGAGTTACCCAAAAGTCTGGGTACTCATGCGGTCAGCCAAGAGTTCTGTGTTTGCTGGTCTCCTTTCCCAAAGCAAAGGGCTGTGCATAGCTGCCCAGTGCTAAGCGAGGCTTTCACTCCCAAGCAAGTGTATGAAAAGGAAAGGAGCAGAGAGACAAGTGGGAAGTGACTCCCAGGAGAGCTGGAAGGGTGGACAGCAGAAGCAGTAGGGGAAGGTTATGAAGAATGACTGCATCTGTAGCACTGTTACAGGCCATCCACGTGCTACCCACCCACAGTACAACAGCCAAGGTTCTGCCGGCCTGTTTGCAAGGCAACACAGGGCTGCTATAGGGTTTAGGCACCTCTACCCATGGCAGTGCACAAGCAGAGCAGCCTGATGGGCACCTCCTGTCTAGCTGAGGCTGTCTGGTGGAAGATTTTCACCTGAAATTCCTTTTTGTTTTTGGTATTACTTCCGTGTAATTTCCAGTACAGACCACTGCCTCCTCAGCCAGGTACCAGGCAGGTAGCAGGACGACTTCCAGCTCCTCAATTCCCTCCAGCCCAATCTGTCTCCCTGCTGCAGCCACCCCACAGTTCTCTTCCAGCCTGTGTCAGAAGAAATTCAACATGGACCTCACACGGGTTTAATGTGCACATTCCAGCTATGGGGGAGGAAAGCTGTGAAGAAGAATTTATGCTGACTCCTGGCCCCCTTATTCCACATGACAATGCACAGCAATCAGAACGGCTCTCACCCCACACATCCTAGATACCAGTCTGCTCTCTGATGTTTGACACACCCCACTCAAGGATTTGGCATACGGGCTCTGCGGCCTCACCCATACTGTAGCTAGAGGGCCCTGAAGGAAGCTGGAAGATGAAGTCCACTGCAGGGAGAGCAGCCTCCCCACAGAAGCAGGTCTCATCTGCATGCAGCTGTAGTAGACAGCTACCTAAAAGGACCATTACATCTCCAGGTAGGAATGACTCTTGGAAAAGGTGTATGTGTACCCCTGATTTTCACTAAAATCATGCCACAACCAAGCAACTTTAAACACATTCAGTGCTCTAAAGCTCACTGAAAAACTGCATCTGGCAGCAGCCTTGGCGGTGGAGGTAGAGCAGCATCAACCCAAACCACTTTCCCACCCAGGTGTGAATAACAGGCTGGGACTGAGCAAAAACACCAGACAGAACCAGCACATCTCTTCAGGCACTGCCTGTCTCCAGGCTCTGCCTCTAGACACAGCTGAGCAAACCCACATTGCCCCTGAGCAGCGTATCCTTGTCTTCTTGCAGTGTAACATCTAAGACATAATTAACTCAGTAACATGCAACTTGTATGAATGACTCTGTCAGACTGTCAGTTCAGAGCGCCTATTTCTGTGGAAAGCACACCCCAAAACAAGTAGCAAAACATAAGGTACCCCCTTCCTCCTCCTGCCCAGCTTGTCCTGCAGAAGCTTTATCCACAGTTACCTTCAGGTGGTGACAGGTGGGTGATCTGAAGAGACCCACCCTCACCAACATTCATAGGCAGATGCTGGGAGAAACTCAGCTCCCACAGGTCCCACCAATTTCCCTGACAAGAGAGGCTGGTATGCGGTTGGAGCTTGCCTTTTCCTTGGCTACCTACCTAGGAGCTAAAAAGTGCAGAAGAGTTGTTGAAACTGGGCACTGCTTTCTCCCTTCACTCTGTGCTCTACATCCTATATGCAAAAGCCTGAGGACAGTCAGACACAGTGGGGCCATTGCAAAATAATCTTCTTTCTTCCTGGCCCTTGTTCAGCCCATTCCCATTCATCTCTATCTGCTGCCTTTGCACACACACACACACACACACACACACTCAGAGCTTACTCAGCCAGAGGCTAGCAATGTTCAGCCTAGCAGTATGCCTTCCCCTGCTGAATCCCAATCGCTTTATCCACCACCTGCCAAAGCAAGAAATAAAACCTGAGATCTCTCTCAGTTCCTCAGATGTGGCTTATCTCCTCTCACCCAAATCTGCCTTTGCAGATTATTTCAGGACCAGGCAGACCCACCTGCAGGTGAATTGGAGTTGGTAAAACCCTCAAACAGTCATTTCCCTTTAGCATGGACATAAGCAAGAGAGGCCCCCGGTACCAAAACCCTTGCGAGGCTGTTGCACTGGGATACACAACGGCATGAGGAGCTCTATGAAGGCAAACGAGCTCCATGGAAACAGCACTGGGGAGCTTGCAAGCCACACCAGAGTTTCATGAAGAGTAAGCCAAATCTTATAGGTGCTCATCCCAAGTGTTGCATAGGCCCTTGATACCCCTGAGTCGGTTCTCAGATCAGCTCAGGATTACCAGCACAAGGGACCTCAGCAGTAGACACTCTCAGCGCAAAGTTAATTCAAACCAGTGGGAAAACTTCTGATGTGAAAGGAAGTTGGCTTACGCGAGAGCAAGTAAAAAGAAAACTATGCCTATGATGAAAGCTGACAAGCAATTAACTGCACCACCAGCAATCTTCTACCATGCCGTTCCTCCGGCCACCAGCTGCTGGGAGCATCCACTCTGCCTGCTGGAAGCATCCGCTCTACCCACTGGGATTTCGTGGTGCACTCTGCCCCATCAAACTGAGCGCACAGCCCTCACAGAAAACAAGGCAAACGACGGTGGAGGCTTACCAGCAGAACACAAGTCCATCCTGAAGAGCGTGGTATATTTTCAACAAAATTGTTGTTCCCCCTTGCCTTCTGCTTGTTGAGATGCTGCACAGAACCGAAACAGTCAGTACCCCAGATGATAGCAGCGTGGGGGGGGAGGGGGCGGGTTGCCCTGTGGCTCCTCCCTTCCCCTCCTCGTCCCTCTGACCGCATCTCATGAGCTCGCATGGGTGAAGGAAACTGCATCTGCAAATCACTATGAGCTAACAGGGCTACTTCTGGACTGCAAATCCACACACGCTTTTCCATCCCAGCAGCTTTCTGGGGGATGGCTGAGCACACATCCCTGTTTGAGGGGGCTGCAATGAGCAGTGAGGGGCTGGTAGTACTTTGGGCTTTTGTCTGAGATACTCCGAGGTGTGAGAGGGGGACAAAAGGGAAGTTCTTGATTCAGAAAACCCATCTGATTTGGGAAGTGGTTTCATTTTAAAGGAAAGATTCTTCCTGTATTAATTCTGCAGCAGTGTGGGGGGGGATGCAGACTCCAAAATTGTAGGGTGGTTGATGGAGGGGAGAAAGAGTCTTTTTCTTCTTTTCCTTCCCTCACTACACACTAAGTGACTTGTATAAGTCTTGCTCCTTTTTTTTTCCCACTAGCAAACTCTTTTTCTTTGGAAGCCTTGTAAGTAAGGATGGAGTGAACTGAGGAGGAATGAAATAGTCTCTCAGGTTTAGTGATGTTCCTGCTGGTGGGAGAACTGGCAATAGCAGGACCCTTTTGAAGACACTTGTGCTGCCCTGTTCACTTGTGAGGCAGAGGTACCCTTTTTCCTCCAGCCCCTCCACACAGCCCCAGAAGGCTGTACACTTCCCCTTGAGTTGCATTTGGTTGCCATGTGGTTTATGTGGTAGATCTCTTGATGTAGGCAATGAGGGAAAAGCAGCATGCAGGAGAGCACCATGCCAGAGAAGTGGTTATTGAATAAATAGGTCAAGGTAAAATTCAAACCAGGTGTGATGCCCAAAGAGGGCTCCTTCCTCCTCTAACAGGACTGAAGCTGCAGAGGGACTGCTCCTCTCCATGCATGAACACTTACCCCTGAAGCATTCTCCATCCTTTGCTCCCTGAAGTGTTGCTGTACTCACAGCAGACCTTGAGCAGGACAGCAAAACAGGTTTAGACTTCTACCTACCATCTTTCCATGAGACAGCAAGTTAGAGTTTGCAAGAGCATTGCATGTGTAGAAAAATAAAAAATGACCCTCTGACTTTTTAGGCAGCTGGAGTTAGCATTTGTGTGCACTTGCCACTGTTTGGAATAGGCTCCTGTGAGGCTGAAGGTCCTTGGCTCACTAGGAAAGGAAGAGCTATTACTTTCCCACATTCCCATCAGCTGAGTCTGAGATCCTCCGGAGAGAATAACTGGCCTTTTAAAAGGCTTGATGCAAAAGGTAGGACCTGGCTGAACACTCTGGCTAAGGTGCACTGCACTAGGGCCACTCAAGAAACACACAGATTGCCCTCCCTTCCTCTCAGTCTCTTGCATTTGCTCTGGCCTGTGGTCATGCTATAGGTTCAGTGCTGTTACTGGGGTGGACAAGCACTCCACTGAAGTGCTCTAGTGAAGAGTAGGAGATATCCTAACCTTAAAGAAGTCAAGGTGTGGCAGAAATCCAGAATGAATCCACACAGGCAGCTGTAGGCAGGGTCACACATAACCTATGATCTTTAGGAAGAGTCAGTGGCACATGACCAGAGTCAATATTTTCAAAGAAGCAGGTAGGAGCTTAGTTGGGAGGGATAAAAAGAAGGGGAAGAGAGAGAGATTTATTAATGCAAACTGATTTCAAACCATTACACCCATGTCTGCCCTGACCTTCATTACACTCAATGTCCATGCTTAAAATTTACCAGAGACATGCCTTTGGGTCACAAATTGCCAAAAGCCCACCCCTTGAAAACTCAACTTCTGTCCTGAGATTCTGGGCCACATCAGAGGAGAATTCACTGCCCCACAGCCTGTACCAGTGTCCCAATTCCTGCACTGGGCCTGGGTCCAGCATATCACCTCCCATCCCTTCATCATGGTTTTCCACAGAAGAGTTGTTTCAGCAGTACTGCAGCTGGCATCGAGCAGACAGGGCAACCTAAAGCACTTCCTTGAAAGACCTGATCTTGCCTGTGTCCAAGGTGGGTGACATACATAGACAGCTTGATCAGGGCTGCTCTTATACATGTGTCTGTGGGCAGGTCAGACCACAAGCACCCTGCAAACAGCAAAATGGATGGCTCTGTGCACTGCAGCAGTACCCTCAGCCACTCCAACAGAGAGCAGTGCCAAACCTGTATCTGTCTCTCTAATCCATATTTGCTTCATCTCTTAACTCCTTGATGCTTCCTTCTCACAGCTTTTCACGCCTGTCTGTTAGAATCCCTGACTGCCCTGTTTTGAGACCTTACAAACTAATTCACTTCAGTGATTGCCTCCCCTGCTTGCATCTCCTGGTTCTGGTCACCTTGCCTTTAACAGTGGTTGGCCTTGATGCGCTTTAAATGCTTTCAGTTGTTTGAGCCAAAGGAGTCTGAATAGGAAATGCACTGTTAAAGAATCACAGAAGTCTGTTTCATGTAGGAATGAAACCCCTGTGAGATATTTTCTCATGAGGGTATGCAAGAAGTGAGACAGCATCCTATAACTAAACTAAGCCTAGAGCATCTCCTATTCTTCCCAAAGTGCAGGGTAACTACATCTCCCTCTCCAGGTCCTTAGTTCTCCACTCATTCACATGGTGCACAGACTAGTTTGGTTCCAGGCTTACCCTGGAACAAAACAACTAGTTTCTATCTTGAGGAAACCTAGACCCAGATGAGAGATGAGTTTGTCTGAGCATTCTAGACAGGCAATATGGATCTGTAGTGAACTCAGGTGGATACCACCACTAGCTCAGCCAGCAATGTGCCTGGAAATGCCCTTAAGGTAAGTAACAAGTTCTGTGGTCATGGCATGAAAATATCATGGATGTGTGACAACACAGCCCTCTCAAAGGAAAAAACAAAGCCAGATAGAATGTGGGAGAACAAGAAAGAAAGGGAAGGAAGGAAGAAAGGAAGCAAGCAAGCAAGAACATATAAAAATTAAAACATCAAATGGGTGCTAAGGGAGATGAGATTTAGATGCTGTACAGTGTGGTCAGAGCTAGCCCATAGCCAGTGGCTCAGAGCACGCGGGTTGTCAACAAGGCCAGCATAGACACAGCTTAGGTCAAATACAGACTGAACAAGGAGAATTTCACATGCAGCAAAAATCAACTTATGCTGAAAGACACCCACATCTAGGGGACTGACTCTTATAGCGGGCACTGGTTCTGGCATCTTCCTCTTTCTAGAGAAACCTGTGGCCTACACATTAAAAATCCCCACCATGATGACTGCAGCAACATCAACCCAGATGAGATCAAGGGCATAGCCCATCAAGGAATGCACTCCTTGGAAAAGCTGGATACTGGATGAAAAACAAAAAAAACATTTTCCAGGTGATAGAGATTATTTGAACAAGGCAAGGCAAAGAGTAGAGCTGGGAATAGCCACTCCTTGCTCCAAAACATACCTAGCTCAGAGGTGCAAAGAAAGTTCTCTTAGCTGTGCAAGAAGAGGTGTCAACAAGGAAACTGGGTGGGAGGGGGGTATTGAGTGGCCTACATAATATTGGGGTAAGTAAAGGGGGCTGGGACAGGTCAGACATGTCTTGGGTTGGATTGGGGTGGCATTTAGCCCTTTTCATCCCCTCCTATCACTCCCCTTCACATCCATCACCCTGCAGGTAAAGCAATGCTTCTCCTGTGCCTCCAGAGCTGTTGGGAACAGGGACAGGAAGAAGCAGATGCCCAGAAATCAGCGCATCTGATACAGGACTGGGGCTACATCCAGTGATTGCCGCTGCCACTGCACATCTTTCCCAGCTGTGGTTATCTCGGACTGCAGCTGTGCAGGCAAGAGGTGGGAGTGTTTGCAATGGGGACATCCAGGCTGGTCCAGCAGTTCTCACCTCATCAAGCATGGACAGATTAGACAAAGTGGTGCAGATCAATACCCCAGGCTGCTGTGCCACAATCCGCTTTTTCTCCCAGGATGCTCCCTGACTGTACACAGAGACTTAATTGGAGCTGGAAATATCTGTTGTTCTGGTGGTCACAAAGGAAAATATCAAACCAACAGCATGGGTGCACTTTTCTACTCCTTGGTATAGGCTTCCAATAATTGTGTAAATAAAAGGGAAATATAAATATTCTCTGCTACTTTCAAGGAGATAAAGACAGTGACAAAATGCCATATATTTCTCTGTGCTGAAAATGTCAGCTGTGTTCCCACAACCCTCTGCAGAGAGACAAAGGACAGATCTGTACAAATTCAATAGCCCCTTCAGGAGGTTTAGGCTGCTGTTCAGGTTGGGCTTAGGGACTGCAGTATGTCAGGAGAGAGTGTGGCACTTCTTACATGGTATTGTGGTGATTACGAGCTGCACAGACAGTATTTTGGTGCCAGGTAAAACAGCATTAGAGCAAAGATAATAACAGAATTTTTCATAAAACAATTGAAATAAAATAATCCTTGTCCCAGTGTGAGGAACAACACAGACCCTGGCAGCAAGAGCAGTAGCTCAGGCTGCAAACGTACAGGCAGTAAGTAAAGCTACTTGTGCAGGGTAGCTGGAATAGCCTATTCTCAACTGCTTGTACTAATTCAAGGAACTGGAGTCTATTTTAAAAGTAGAAAGATGGTGATTATAAAAAGCCACAGAACAAAACAAAAACCTCTTATAAAGATTACAGGAGGGTCACTTAGAGTATGATAAACTTGAATGAAGAGCCAGAGGGATTTTTTTTGATGGACTTTGAAATGCAGCAAGATTGAAGCTTTATGCCTTTGAAAACAAATAGTAGAAGTCAAGCAAAAGATTGTACCTTGGTAGTGAAATATTAGTCTTGTAAAACAGAATAGCTATAGATTTCCTTAGTACTCTGAACAGCACTTTTCACTTCCTTGATGCAGCCTTCCTGAAATATACCAT